TTCGACGTGCGCTTCCCACTGTGGATGAAGAATCAGAAGCGCAGTTACTGTCTTCCCAGTTCATCGAGAGTGTCCCAGACCACATTTTTCAGCGATTACAACTGGTTACCGCAACGCAGCCAATGGGTATTAGTGAGCTGGCGAAGTTGACTAGACAGCTGCTGACCACAACTGTAGCCGCTATAGAGCAACCGAAACCAAATGAATACGAGCAGAAAATTGAAGCGTTGCAGCGGTAAGTGGCGGCGTTAAAGTTGGGTGATAGAAAAACCGATGTTTTGAATGCGGCAAGCCGGGACACTGGAGGAGATACTGCCCAGAAAGGCGAAAAAGAAAACGTTTCAGATGGAATAATACGTGTTCTTTTTCTCGTATAAAACTAGATGTGGTGGGAACTATTGAGAAAGGGGCTCTGTATTCAAAGTTGCGAGTGAATGATCAAAAAATAGTATGTTTAGTAGATACAGGGACGGCCGTGTCGTTAATAGATAAGAACTTATGTAAGAGTGTTAGTTCGTGTTCATTGACAGTACAAACGGTAGGTGGGTATGTGTTACTGTTATGTACTGCTGAGTGGTTAATGGTCCTGACGAAAAAGGGGAAAATCAGAAGCCCACCTCGTTCACGAAGATACTTGTATTTTCCAAACAAGGAAAATAATGACTGTCACACAAGTGTGAGAGTGAAGGTTACGTAGTGTACGAGATGTGTGAACAGGTGTATAAAAGTGTACAATGCAAAAGTATATATGAAAATGACTAATACACATGAACCAATAAGACAAATAAGTAGTTTACCTTGCCCTCAATGGATTCTGATTGGTTGTAATGTCATGTGATAAAAAGGTCATACATTGTTTACTTAGTTAATGGACAGACAAAAGCATATTGTCAATTATAATGGAATATCGATCCATATACACACAGCAAAATATAACAGACTGTCAAAACAAAACACACATCATGTAACTACATATCAATTACCTATCACGGGTAGATCGAACTGCGTGGTCATTGTTGGCGGCTGAGATGTGACGTTTCCTTTTTTTGTTGTACCCGAACTACAGCGAACGATACTAGGAGCGGATTTTCTGCGGGAGATTGGTGTGATAATCGACACGCAAGCGAACGTTGTGATCACGAAATACGGGCATATCAGCATGTATGAAGAAGCCGATAGCCCGTACAACTCTCCAGTGCTGTTAGTAAGAAAAGCGAATGGGAAGTATAGATTCTGTGTTGATTTTCGACAGTTAAACAGTATGACAGAGTTAAGACCGTGTGCCATCCCAACAGTAGTAGAAACTTTAGATCACCTACAAGGCGCGAATGTGTTATCGGTTCTCGATCTTCACTCAGGATACTGGCAGATACCGATAAAACAAGGTGATAGAGATAAGATGGCATTCATCGTGGATCAGACACAATATCGATTTAAACGCATGCCGTTTGAACCAGCAGGTGAACCGTTTACGTTCAGACGACTGATGACCCTATTACTTAAGAACTTGAAAAACTTGGAGGTGTATGGTGATGATCTCGTCATATACAGTCAAAACGAAAACGATCATGTGAACCATGTAGAAGCCGTGCTGCGACGCATCGAAGAGTTTGGACCGCGCGTCAACAAAACCAAGTCTTAGCCAAAAAGAATGTTACTATGTTGGGACATAAAGTGGGAAACGGTGAGATTAAACGACTGCCGGAGAAAATTTTGACGATAAAATCGATCCCAGCCGCGAATTCAAAGAGAAAATTGAGACAACTCTTGGGTAGAGCAGCGTTTTTTATTTTTTTTTTATTTACAGCTTGATTCCAGACTGTATTTTCGGTACAAGAATGGAATTTTCAGCATGGATATCGGTAGCCCAAATTTTGCAGACCGACCATAGATATCAGGTGCGCGTCGGTGCGGGCTCGAACTCCGGACCATGTGCATGATCGGCGAGAGTCCTAACCATTGTGCCACCGACGCACGGTTCGTGAAGAAATTCAATGAGATAGCAGCCCCTCTGTACAGGCTACTAGGTGAGCCAAAGTTTGTTTGGTCGGAAGAATCGCAGAGGACATTCGACAGAATTAAACAGCTGCTCGACCACCAACAAATGACGCTAAAACTACCTGCACCAGGAAGACAGTTCACAGTGTGCACAGATGCCAGTGACTACGCTATAGGTGCGGTCCTAAGACAGGACGAGGGAATCGTTGAGTATGCCAGTAGGGTTTTGACACACACACACACAAGAGAAAGTATTCAACGATAGAGAAAGAATGTTTAGCAATGGTATGGGCAGTCGACAAATGGAGACCTTATTTACTCGGCCGGCGGTTCCACATCGAAACTGATCATAAGCCGCTACAATTTTTGAAGACAGCGAGAGACCCACGGGGGAAGTTGTCACGGTGGATGTTGCGTCTTCAGGAGTACGATTTTACGATCTCACACGTTCCTGGAAGTGAAAATGTCTTGGCAGATTTGTTATCGAGACCAGAAGATGAGTCTGAGTTGCCCGAGGTCGCTTACGGAGTGCATGCAGTAGAACAAGACCCACTAAGACTTGCACGTAGGCAGAGGTTGGACGATACGCTGAATACAGTAATACAGGTGATCACCAACGGAATAGAAGTGGATCAAACTACGGCGAGTAAGGAGCTAACCACACTACTCAGACAGAGGGATCGACTCAGAGTGAATGCCTACGGGACTCTGACCTGGCGAGAGAACGACGGAAGCTGGCTGGCTGTCATACCTCAATCGTCGCGCCACGACATGATAGAAGAATGTCACCAGCTAGCGCATACAGGCGTGGCCAGAACGACCGACCTCCTAAGACAAAGTATGTACTGGCCAGGTATGAGAGAAGACGTAGCAAGATACGTACTTGGATGTCCACGGTGCCAGCTGATGAAAGGTGACCGGTGTATACGACCACCACTTCAGTCGATTCCAGTTACCGCGATAGGTGACTTGTGGTCCGTAGATGTCATGGGTCCATTTCCTCAGACATCCAATGGTAATCAGTACCTCTTGGTGATGACGGAACACGCGACACGATGGGTAGACGCCGTAGCAATCCCAGACCAACGTGCAAGAACCGTGACAGATGCAGTAGTTAGACACATTGTTGCAGACCACGGCGTACCGAAGACAATACTGACAGACCAAGGTCCCTGTTTCGAGAGTGAAGAGTTTACTTCCCGTTTGCAACAGCTGGGCATCAAGAGGATCAGAACGACCCCATACCATCCACAAACGAATGGCCTAACGGAGAGAAACAACCGTACACTGAAGGAGTGGCTGGCCTCGAAGGGCGGGAACTGGGAAACGGAGCTTCCACTGATTTTACTAACACATCGGGCTACCACTCAGGAAACAACGAAGAAGTCACCCTTCCAACTGATGTATGGTAGAAAACCACGATTACCGGTACACAATGAGACCTGGCCCATGCACCAAAAGTGGAGTACGACGAAATTAAAAGCAGAGAGGAAAGAGGCAGTCAAGAATGTAATACAGAAGCAGCGCAGTGATGTCGCGAAGTCTCAGATGAAAGAAAGGACGCAGTGCATTACCTTTGCAGTCGGGGACCAAGTGAAGTGTAGAGACAGGAGATATACAGTTGGAGGCGGGCTAGGTTCACGGAAACTCCTTCCAAAGTGGGAAGGACCATACACAATCACAAAAAGACGGGGTCAAGTATATACCATCCGAAGAGGTGATAAACAGAAACGAGTTAACGCCAGTCAGCTCCAAAGATGGGTACAGTGGGACAAGCCGGTCAGTAACAATCCTCAACTAGAGGATGTAGCACCCAGAAGGTCGGAACGTCTGCGCACGAAGCTATTTGACGGGGGGAAGTGTGGTGACAGCAGGCTAGCCAATAATGGTAGACAGCATTTTACGTCATTGTTTATGTCGCAAATATTGGTGGTGAGAAAATATGAACAAGACTGTTTCAACAACCAATCACAGCAAACTTGGCGTAGACAGATACAGTTAATATACAGACGACCTGACATTCATGAAACAGTCACAAATAGATGCTTGGTCAACTTTCTGTGAGAAACAACCAATCAGAAAACTGTGTTTGTCTGCTTGAATAAGCTATAATAATGTACATGAAATATGTATAAATAAGTGTAGATTTCCTTAATAAACAATCTGTAGTCTGGTTCTTGTCTTCTGTTGTTACAATTGTATAGAAGTGTTTTGTGATGATTTGGTGGTTTGTTGTTGAGTCGGCGGTGTTTGTTGGTGTAGTGGTGTGATCATCCCCTAGGACGTTGTTCTAGTCAGTGTAACACACCGATATTAATCGTCGATTTTCGCCTCACTCATGATATTAGGAAGCTTACATTTTCATTCATATACGAGTTGTTTCTGTCATATACTTCTAATAAGTCTAGACTTATTTCGCTTACTAGTTACGTTAAATAATTCTACAGGAATATGCTTTTTGTTGAATACATCTCTTAGTTTCAATGAAAAATTGACGCACGCTGAAATTGTCTTAGTTATACTCAGCTTTTGGTATCACTATTAAGAAAACTTCAATAAAAACGAACGACTGATTTGGAAATCACTGCTTTACTAAAGAATCCTTAATTGTTTGTCACACTACTTACTTAATACATTATTGTCATCTGAACTAGAATATTATTTAATTATTAATAGCAGAACAAGCTGGACTATTGAAATCTGACTCAGTTGATTTAACTAAATACATGGTCTGAAAAACGCATAAATACACATAAGCGAATCACTTATAACAGATAGGCGATATATTCCTTTTATTTGAAAATACTGATGGAATGCAAAGTGCTTCCGCACAGACATCCACTGAATCCGATGGTTAGATTAACTGGTAAAAACAAAACAACCAAATATATAAGTTGCGGAAATTAAGACAAACAATTTTGAAACTTCTTAAAATACATTTATTGGTAATTCTAACTAAGTACATAATAAATTAAACAGTTTCACCGGTGTACAAAATCGAACTAACGTAGAGGTCTCCATGGTTTAAGCACTTCACCGAATGTGGGATAGGCTGAAAAGGAAGAAAAGTCTCTTAGTATTGTTTCTATCGAATTATTTCGTAGCTTCACTAATCGAAATATTTTCGTCTATAAAATATGTGAGAAATACTCATCAGGACATCACAGAGGAAAAAAAACAAGAAGCTCAGTAAAGATATTTTCCGGCGATTTCATCCTTCAAAAGCTGTACAATCGCATTTTCATACATAAAATAAAATAATTTTTCCTTCACGTTCCCAGTGGAACATAGGGCTCCAAGCTAGTGGCTTGAAGTTTCTGTAGCAGTGTTTAATTTTTACAGGATGGGGTTGCTAGCCTCATGCCCAACCTTTCCTCTTTACCAGCATTATTTCTGGCTCAGAGAGGTAAAGGAGTGCGCCGGCCGGGGGTCGAACCCCGGACCATGTACATGGTCAGCGAGCGTCCTAACCGCTACACCACCGACGCACATTTTCATACATAGGTTCACTTATTTACAACTGTCATTTAATTTAACATAGTAAGGAGAAGAAATTAAAGGTAATAATTTTCAACATTATATGAAAGTTTGAACGTGTGAATAAATATTGCAGGAGGCATAGAAACAAAATTACATTTTACTATCACTTTATTGCTTTATGTTCCCACTGGAGCTAGAGCTTTGTAGTTTCAGTAGTATTATAACGGGATGGGATTGGTAGCCTCGTGCCCAACCTTCCCTCTTTATTAGTCTTATTACCGGCTTAGGGAGGTAAAGGAGTGCATCGATCAGAGAACGAACCCCGAACCACTTGCGCGGCTGGCGAGCATTATACTGCTGTGCCACCGACGCACTCATATATTTATGATTTTATGTCTTATATAGCAACAAATCCAGCCTAATGTTCTATCTTCTCTTTTTTTTATGCTTCTTATTTCGTTACAGCTTACAAAAAGATTGCGACGATAGTGATGTTTAGAGAATGGAAGTAGCACCGATGAATGAAATCTAAAATATCTGAACAGAAAATGATCTGTCGTGTATAAATAAACTGACACGTGTTTTCCTGTTGACATTCGATGTCGTTTACTTGGATTTAAATCAAGATTGGTATAATAAAATGAACACAGAAGAGAAAATGAAACCGGGAGACAGGGAAATGACACATGATTAGAAAACAATTGAATAATATGTAAAACAGTTTTTAACGAAGACAGGATGACGACGGGAACAAATTAAAATAATTTTGGTAACTAAGAATGAAAAGCCTATATGAATGAAAAAACTAAAACTAAGGAGTCTAACTCAACTAAATCCATGGTAAATATAAAGGTTAGACTAGCTACATTTGAACACTCAGTTCCAGCCATTTAACGCAGTTTCCGACTTCTTTGTACTGTAGAAGCCCTCACCATATTTTTCGGGAAGCCGAAGCTGTGTGTTCAATGATACTCAGTAACTAAATATAGTCTCTTAACGCGAACTCACTTGATGAAAGGAAGGCAGTCTATGTAACCTAACACAGACCACGTTGTTCCAGAAAGTATGCAGTCACTCTAGAATGAGCTCAGTATCTGTCCATCTCGAAATGTATATGAATCTTTGTATATTAATATTAAGCCAGAAGACAGAAGAAATACCTTAAAAGTTATCTACCGCATTCCATCGGACCTTTCGAACTCGCCTTTTACACATAGCAGAAACTATGAGAATTCGAGAGAACAATCCTAGTTTTTGCATACACAAGAAGTTTGTCCTACTTTGGCCTAGATAAAGTGTAATTAAAATCCCCCATCCTTTCTTATTCTCCATTGCCTTCGTATTTTTATGACATTTATTTAAACTCCGATTATTTATCCACTTCACCGTAAATATTACGGAACTTTTAGGATTTAACCCAATTTATTCATTGAATTCTTTACATAAACATGCAACATTTGTTATTCTTAATGCCAAGTGCATGAACCTTATTATCATTTTTTGTTATTATTATAATCATCATTAGTGATGAGGTCCAAACCACTTAACATGTATTTTTATTATTTATCATCCACAAACTCACTGTCATTGTTTAAAAATTGTATATACAAATCTATGTAAATTAGAGTGAAGCCTGAAGAAGATCTAATTGAAAACAATGTTGTTCGCTTATATGTCTTGTTCTAATATTAATAATGGGAGCTGAGGTTGTCACTGGTTTTAATTTATATCACGATGAAGAATACTAGAGAGAGTAACCTACTATACAAGAACGAATCTGATGTTTCAGTCGCAACATAGGTGCGACCATTTGGGAAAAAGCTACATAAATCCTCCGTATAAGTAACTCGGTTTTCTCAGCCACTAATCGAATACGGTTGACTTAACTCCACAAGCATGTTAACTGGTCAGCGACCTCAACCAGCTCTATGAACAGACAGGATACAGATGCCGAATAGTTCTTAGGCAGCAATCGAAATTCGGAAGGTGAGAACCATATTTCGAACATTCAGACTGTCACTCAAAGTGCTCAGAAGACTCATTATTTTGCCAACAACACTATCTTGTACAGAGTCCAAGTAAAACTCAATTACACTATTCCCTTAGAAGAGGTCAATACTATGAAGCCACGTGGAAAGACTTCAAAAAGCACTTATTATATAATTAAATAAAACCGAAGTGAAAGGGTAAGCTCAAAGAACATTATTCGACGAACCATCACGCCAGATCAATTATAAAAAGTAGATTACATTCTTCAAAAGTTACATATTTTAAACCAAGGCTTCCTAAGATTTTGGAAATTTTGAAAGCTCATTGAATTATCCAATCTCCTCTCCTACTGTTTCACACCCACTGGTATATCCTTTTCGTCCCTCATTCTGTGCTGTCTAAGATCACAAGTTACATCCTCATCTGTTTTTCTGGCCTTATTTTTCAGTTGTGTGTCAGAGTAACAAAACTGTTTATAAGGGAAGACTGACACCACCCAAATGTTTTAATCTACTTTGATTAACTTGTAACTAGTGTGGCGTGTCTCGTCCTTTCTTTGGTGCAGACTGAATTCTATCAGTCAGGTTTGCAATGTGGCCACCATTCTAAGTAGGTCACCATCACGGTGCACATTGATTTGATGATATTAGATAGTTGGAGGCAATCGGCAGAAAGCCTTGGACCTAGGTTTTGTGCTAGTTGACACTCGTCAGCAAGGCGTATCTGCGACCTTGAAGGAACTCATGTCCCTTCTGAGATTCGAATCCGCGTCACCCAGTGCTCCAGGTAGAGACGCTACAACTCAGCTATATGATTGGAGAAGCTAGAAGTTTGGAAAAGTGTGCATCAGCTGAAGACAATACTATTCGGAAACGTAAACAGTAGAGGACAGAAATGCAATGCAACTATGATGGGCTAAAATGTACGAGAGGCGACTGAATAAAAATGATTGAGCATTCTCAGAATCCAGAAGAAAACAAGAAGTGAATATTTTTAACAACTATGAACGATTTCAAATCATGGCAACAACAGTTTCAAATCGAAGTTATGAAGCCTACGCCTTTTCGTGTGACTCAAACCAACAGCTGAAGACTTTAGGCATCGGTGTAACGTTTCCCTAGGACCAACTCAAACTCCTCTGACTCAATCTTATGTCACCTAACACTGCTCGTCGAGGAAGGTGGTGTCTTGCATATGAGACACATGTCCCATGATGTTGTTTTACAACCACACAGATCGATTTCTCCTCCTTCCTTAGAGATATCCACTAGGAATATTCGGATATTTTGAGATAAGTAATAATGAGTTCGTGATCCAAGTACGAAATTAACAATTTTGAAACTAAAACTATTGGCGTAAAAAGACATATTACCACTAACACAACTCACATTTTTCAGGGACCCGTTCAGGAAATTGAGATTTATAATGATCTATAGCTTGAAGGTGGAGTAATTTCTTCCTGTCAACAGCATGTTTCACCCCAATGGAAAGTAAGTACGTACCACCTCCCAGCAGAAGTGTTCTGTAGAAGCCTAAAATAAATTTAATTGTGAGAAGATTAGTTTCACAAACTGCAATCCTCAGTAAAAAAAAATTTGGAACATTTAAGTTATTTTCACGATTATTTTGTGTAAATCTATTCTATTTGATTGGCCTTCATTGATTTATGACTGTTGTTGCAGCACACTGTCAAGAAACATTATAGCTAGGGAAACAGGAGCTAACTATGCCGATGGACAAACAGCAATGATTTTTGTTACATCCACTCTTCTTCAGGTAGTAAAAACTCCCTTAGAAAGCAGAAACCCACAAAAGATAACTTGTCACTTAGCTTTTCTAAACACCCGTGATCAGAATTGATTACAACTAACTGAACAACTTTAGAATTATTTGAGGCCTATAATGCTGTATTGCTGTCAGCTGCACGGTTGTTTTACGTTAAGAAAAACCTTTGTACTGCTTTTACAAATCTGAAGAGAAATTGTTTGACCTTGAGTACGAAATGATATGACGGAATACATTCATCATTTTCTCGATATAAAAGTTTACTAAAACATGCAAAATACAACCAACAGAAATTACGGTGTCTGCAAAAACTATCCCTAAGAGTTCAACATTTATCTTTCGCTGGCTTTAATTAAAAATTGAAAGTACAAACTCAACGTACAACTATCGTAATCAAATTTTATAGCTTAGACGATGAAAACTACTCTATGAACAAGATCATTTCTAGAATTTGTAGGTGCTCAGTGAAAAGCATTTAAAAAAAAGTCGACCGCTATTAAGAAAAGCACGCATAGAAACTGCCTGGAAAACTAAACAAACAGAATAACTATAAATACCTACTTGACTTCTATTCACAGTCTCCGACATATCAGAACAGCTCTGAGACAGGAAGCGGATTCCAGTGAATGGCAGCAGCTCTTTAGTTATCCTCTAAAATAACGAGTAGTGTGACACAAAACTGAAAGTAGTCCAATGCGAATTTAGATATAGTAGCACTTCTCTCCATATAAACTCAGAGAATCTGATGAAGCAGTGTTTATAGAAACCCTATTTCTACTGAACAAAACATGGTTGCAAAGTTGATAGATCAGTGATGAAAGTATTTTAAGACCACGAAAACTCGGAAAATTGAGTGAAATCGCATTTAAATGCATAGTGCGCTAAGTAAACACCATCTCTTGCTGTTCAAATCAGGGTCAATAATGTGACATCAATCCCCATTTTTTTCCTACAACCCTTTATAAGGGTGCTGCCGCACTGGTACATGAAACAGAAAATCAACTATATGCTTTTCTCTGAAAAGTAAGGTATTTATCTCATGTTGCTGATGGTTGTGCAGCGAAATACATCACATCATAATAATACCCTCAAGGAGGAAGAGATGACATCGTGACCAACGGGGTACAGTTTGTAAACTAAGACGATGTGAAAACGAATAGACATACGTGCATACACAGGCTTATAGGAATAGTAATTCCATGCCATGTGAGTAGAGGCTGCTAAAAAGGCCAATACTTCCGGTATCATCTCTGGGAAGACTGGTGAAGGCAGGACGACCTTGAGAGTACACGTCCAAATCTCCCGCCAACAGTTTATTTTTATTTTTTATTATGGCTTGATTCCCCCACTGTATTTTTAACACAATTAATGAATTTTCAGCATTTGATATCGAAAGCCCAAATTTTACAGGCCGACCACTGATATCAGGTGTGCGTCGTCTGGGAATCGAACCCCGGACCATGTACATGGTCGGCAAGAGTCCTTACCACTGTGCCACCGACACACGTCCTCAATACAATTGCAAACAAACTTTTTTTCCATACATTTAGAAACCGCACATGAAATTCTTACCACCATATGAAACTCAATATCCGTCAGCTTACTTGTAAGACTTAGGTAATCAAGTGCTCCACATCGAATTTAGATTTATTCAAATTTCAGATTTATTGGTTGAAAATAGAAGGCTTCGAGACTAAGTTCATACTTTTCCAGTGAATTTCTTTGGTCTTCCAACCTATTCTTGAATGAATCAGTCCAGGTTGCAGACACCACTTCTGGGTGTCGGTTCTACGAGTTTGTGACCCATTGTGAGAAGTGGTACTCAACAGTAACATGATTTCTTCTTGGCTTCTTAACTCTCCTACTAGGTCCTATAAGTTGTTCTTACCTGGTGGAAAGGAAGAAAGAGAATAGGTCAGGTTCGTAGTCATTATTTAAAGTCTTAAACATTGTAATTAAATCTCTCTATCCACGGTATGACAGGGAGAAGAAATTTAAACTATCTAGTCTTTCCTCGTATGATAAGTCAGCCATGCCGAGAACCATGCAAGTAGCCTTCCTTTGAAACCTCCCAGTTCAAGACAAGGACTGGCTGCTTGGATACAGGTTTTTAATCTTGACCTCACCAGAGGTGCATATAAAGAGGGGAATATGTCTATGGTGGTTCTTGTAAAGGCTCTGCTAAATGCCCACAAGGGTCTGAAACTACGTGCACCCACCGCGCGACAGTGTGCTGCAGTTTCTAAATTGTGACTCATTGTGACACAAAAATCCAAATGAGTCTGAAGCGATGGTAGTGTTATTCCTGCCACTCCGTAGGAGCTGATGTTCAAGTGCCCGCTCATCATGGTTGCATATTTTGCTACATTTATCAGGAACATCCATTCTCTGGACTACTCTGACAATTCGTTAAGGTCTTTAAACGGTTGACGGAATACTCTTACACAGCCTCTAATTTATTAGTTCTCGCGTACCAAAGACAAAGCAAAAGACAATTTTTGATCGTCCAAACTACGTGATATATTTCGGAACCAAAACAAGCCGTCAGACGAACGCTTAGCTGGCTAGTGATCGTGCACGTGACACGACGGGGTACCAAATGGCGGGGATGCTTGACCGGAAGCCTTGAGCTAAACAAGTCGACTTAAACAGTGGTGGTCAGCATCCAATAGTGAGTGATTGCTGTGGTCAATAATTTTGGGGAATTATTTACCGCTACAGCTCACTCCCCCCCTAGTGTGGTGGTGAGGGCCCTAAGAGAGAACCAGCCGGAAGTAAAAAAAACTCGATGGTTCCCTTTCGGGTGAAAAAAATCTTCCGAGCGGCTTGGTGGTACGCCTACTGGTTTGTCTGCCTATGCCAATAGGGTGTTTGTACATAGCTTCCTTGTTGTTGTTCGTTGGACTCCGTGCTTCGTTTGTTTCCTGTCCAGTGCCCGTCGCACATGGAAAAGAAAACAAGAACGCTAAGAACCATGTCGAGGAAAATGTACCAAATCAGCTTTTTTTGTTAAAAAAATGATGTGCATTTACTATACAGTAAAACAATGCCAAGTTCAGAACACCGAAAAAAATAAATCTAATTAAAATTTTTTTGTGCATGTTACATGTACTGCTGAAAATAATTCAGCTGAGTTTAGTGATACTGCATAAAAAATTGATACGTCAAAAAAATAGTTGGTACCACAAACGAATGAGTTGCGTGAATCACACGACTTCGTTATGTCATATAAGTAGGCAGATATTCTCGGAACCTTACGGTGCGTCCAGAACGGGTTTTCTTGGGAGGTTCGATAGAAGGTTCGGTAGCTGCGCTGTGCTAGTGACTTCATCGATGTGCAAACGATATTCTGTTACTTGTGGATTATGGGGTACGTTCAGTTCTATGCTAATAGGATTACCCTCCAAGTAAGCCGGTTTCAGTATAGCCTCGACCTCAGTAGCCAGTGGGCGAATGCACTTGCAGTCAATAGTGTGACCCAGGAAGTCGAGTGAGTCAACGCCTATCTGACACTTTTGAATATTGATGGTAGCACTATGTTGGCGTTACCTGTCAAATGCCAAGTCCAAGTGCCCAAGTTGAGTTTCCTTGTCTGGACTGGCAATGAGGCAGTCGTCTAAGTATGCGTATGCAAAGTCGAGACCGCGAAATACTTCGTCAATGAAGCGTTGAAATGTTTGGGCTGCATTCCGGAGACCGAATGGCATACGTAGAAATTCAAAAGGTCCGAAAGGCGTAATGATAGCCGTTTTCGGGATATCTTCTGTTGCCATCGGGATTTGGTTATACGCTTTAACCAAGTCGATTTGGAGAATATAGTCGCGCCAGATAATGTTGCCGTCAAGTCGTGTATAAGAGGCAATCGGTAGCAATCATAGGTTGTTTTCCAATTCACTCTCCGGTAATCACCGGCGGGTCGCCAATCACTGCTATCCTTTTTCGGAACCCTATGAAGTGGGGATGCCCATGGGCTATTCGAAGGTCGAATGGTGCCAAACGTAAGCATATGGGGTCAGTCACGTCACATAAACCGTCAATGCCCAGCTCTTGCTACGCTCGGGCCCACGCTGTTCCTTGCAGTTTTCAGAAACGCTTAATAGTAACGAACGCGAAAACCAAAACACCGATTGGCCGCTTGAGATTTCTTTATTGTTACACCAACATATAAAAATTATGTTTTTACTAGGGTCTGTGAACAAATATTACAATAATAAATCACGAGATTACTTCTGATGGTTTGCTACTGACTTCTTTCTGAACAGCGACCGATGAGACGATGACTGTCGTATTGATGCCTCCGCGAAAATTGGGGAAGTTGATTTTGAGCAGACAACCATGAATTGATCGTTGAATCTTCAACTCCATTGACACTCCCCGGCAAAATACGGATCCAACCCCTTTTTTCCATCACGACCAATGCACGTCGACTTGGATGCCATTGCGAGAACCTGGGTCACACGGACAGAGCTGAAATGGAAAACAAACAGAAAAGCCAACACACCACAAGCATACCCACAGCACAATCTCACACATCAATGACGACCTGCGCCTCCAGACAGAGACCTCCTCTTGACATCTTGCAACACAATCGCCACTTGCTAGAATGACTCTTGCAGAGTGCAACGTGACCATAGCACCAACTCATGATACTCTACGCACATCCTCTTAATTACTCACTACCAATTACCACTGAAATCGCTTGTCACTCATTCTGCCTCAGTTCTAGTAGCGGTGACGCATGCGAGCCTCAGTCGTTTACACTCTTTCTCCCCGGCGTGTGGGATCACAGCTAACAATTACCTCCGTGTGCGTTTCATTCTCAGCAATAGCCTAGCCTCCCCGGCGTATACGACCCATCTGCTGTCCTCAACATCAATCAATTCATTCATGGATGTAGAAGACTCGAAACAACTTCAGAAGTAATCACGACGAAAATTTTAACAAAATTACACAATAACAACAAGATACGAAAACAACAAGTAAACACAATGAATCCAAAATACACCAATTGATATGACACACCACAAATATATACAAACAGTACAAACAAACTCGCAGATCGTGTCTCGATGGAATTCCTTTGAAGAATCGCAGGACTTACACCAGTACGCCTGCAACCCTTCACAGGTTGACGATTGTAATTTGTGGGATGTCCGGACACAAACAAGATTAACCAACAATTACATCAATTGGAACTCACACAATCATTTAACACAAACATATGTACAATCAACACATCAAGTGTTGTGGATTCTGGCACGACAAACTACCCTTGAAGAACTGTAGGACTTACAGCAGTACGCCTACAACCCTTCTCAGGTTGACGCTCTAGGTTGGAAAATCGTCGCAGAGTTCATTTGCTGACTTCCTTCTATCAGCTATATCCTCAAATCTGAACGGTAACACGCCCATGTCATTGTATCGTAGAATATAGGTGACCAACAAACACACGACATATCTCATCAACCAAGTGTAGAAACAGAGTAATTTACACCAAAGATAATAACATTCAATTAGTAACTTGAAACTAGAAATGCCTTTATTCGTGCAAGTCAATTTAACAATTACTCTCTCCTTTACACTTGGCTTATCCACACTAAACTGACCATTGATATTCGTCCTTTCAAACGAACTGATACTAGCATAGTCATTGCACAAGATACTTGAGATGATGGGTGTCTGTTTCATTGTGGATGACAGCACCAACGATGACTGAGTGACACAAGGTGATGAACTTAGTGGTGGATCAGAAGCTGTTGTTGCTCGACTTTCAGAAATTTGTCTACCTGCAAGACCACCACCACTGGTGTCTTTTACTATCAGCTCAGGTTTAGCACTAGCATCTGATGATAGGTGGGCTACATACTGGTCACTCACACTGACGGTTTCACAAGTATGCATGCCTTCTGCAACTGCACCTGAATTTATTTCTACTTCACGTTCAAGTTGTACAGAAACTTTGTTCAACTTAGCAGTAGTAGGCATATCCCTCATCTCATCATGATCAACCAAAGACAACTGTAAAGTATCATGATCATTATCACGAATATTCACTTTACCGTCAACTTTATCATTTTCAAACTCTTTAATAACAGAAGTAGACAATTTTGGTTCCTCCTCGCAAATCCTAAAAGGTTTTATAACTTCACTCTGACTAGTTATACTTTGTAAACTTTTGGAGTCAGAACTGCACTCTGAAGCAGTAACTCTATTATGTGACACTCTGCATCTTCTTTGACACAGGAATT